TTTTGTTTAGAAAATCGTGATGTGAACACTTGTTTGCTTAGACGGTTAAAAAAAAAAAAAAAAACAGCGGGGAGAGATGAAAGCATGAGAGAAGTGGAAACTTGTGTCTATATTCTTCTTGATGTTCACCGACTTTTAACTCCCGCAGAAATTTATGGTTGTTCGTTTACTTCTGGACTTTCATCTTCTTCCAGAACTGGACTTTTGCATGAACACTAGTTTTACAGATGTGACTTATTTAAATGCAGACTGTTGGTTACTCGCCTTACACGCAGATGAACTCGGACTTCGAAGAAAACACTCATAATTACTAGACTAATAGGACATGCTTTCGAGGGGGTAGTGTGTCTATTCTTATTCCCAACCCCCACCCTGCCTTTCACGCAGATGAACTTGGACTTCGAAGAAAACACTCATAATTACTAAACTTATATGATATTTATGAGAATAGGGGCTTTTGCGCTGAAATGCTCTAGAAAGATTCTCAGAATATCTTGGACAAAGAAGATGAGAAATATTGACATCTTAAAAGATCTGAACATCAAGGAAGATTGGCTAATAAACAGCATCCTTTCTCGAAAGCTGAAATATTTTGGTCATATCAAGCGCCACGACGGATTGGAAAAAATTATAGCAGAAGGCATGGTACCAGGAAGGAGGGGCAGAGGCCGCCCGACACAAAGATGGGCACAGGATATAAGTGACTCCTTGAGTGTGAAAGTTCATGAGGCGGGAGAACTGGCAAGAGACCGAGTTTCTTACAGGCAGACTGTGATGAGAGCGACGTTCTGCAAAGAACCTGCTACATGATGATGATATGACATAGTTTCGAGGGGGCCGTTTGTCTATTCTTATTCCCAACCCCCACTCTCCACTTGGACCCAGGAACATTTTACGAGGAGTTTGTATATCATTAGCTACTTAGGAAATGTAAACATGGAAATACTCTATAGAGTGTTCTTGAAAATTATTGAGTAAAATGTGCATAGTTAAATTGTATAAGAGCCATGTATAGTTGGCAGTAAAAGTGCCCTAAGAACAAGAGCTGGAACCACAGACTGGTTTCTAGTAACATCTGGGATGAGACAAAGATGTGTTCTATCCCCTTGCTCTTCATTATTTATTTGTACTTTATCACCAAAAGAAGCAGCGCCGACTAACGACCAACCAAACTACTGTTGTTCTTTGCTAACGACCAACGCATATTTTACAGTAAAACCCAATAACTACAAGAATTTTTTAATGCACTCTGGAATAGCTGTCTTAAAAACAATGTGAAAAGTAACAACGAAAAAGCAGCAATCATGAACATAAAAAAAAAAAAAGATTATCAAAATATCGACACTTAAAAAAAAAAAAAGAAAGATTAACGAACATTCACTAAAACAGGTTGACGAATTCAAATATCTTTGAAGCATCTTCACATCAGACGACAGACTGGACACAGAGATCAAGTCCAGAACTCGGGAAGCAGTATTACCTATCAACTTTCTTTTGTACTGACACACAGAGAATACCAATGGAAATAAAAAGACAAATCAAAACATATACAACCTATTTCCACACATGCATATAAGTAAAAAGTAAAGGAACTGACCCTTTTCCACGACTTTAGGCGTATAGAGCATATCAGGCAAAACCTATATTTTATAGACCAAGCAGCACTCGGTGGGTGATACGAACAAGATCACGCCGGTCACTTTGACTTCTTAGGACTTGGTCAACTTAGGAGTCAAGGTCATATATATATATATATATATATATATATATATATATATATATATATATATATATATATATATATATATATTCATTCATTCATTCAGTAGCATGTCCCTCGTGGAACCTCGCTGCCATAACAACCCTCCGGAAAAACCTTCCTATCATGAGCAAGATGTCCTGCGTCTGACACACCCCATCTGGAGATCATCTGCCACATCCTGCACCCATCTTCTCCTTGGCCTTCCTCTTCCTCTCTTCCCAGGCATATACCCCTCCATTATTGTTCTCTCTAGACCTCCATGACGTTTCAAGTGACCAAAAATATTTCAATTTTCTTTGTTTTATTGTCTTTACTAGCCAACCCTCTTCAATATTCAGCTCTTGAAGTATGGATGCATTTGTTCTTTTCTTTACCCAAGATATTCTTAGAACCTGTCTGTAACATTTATATTCAAATGCATTTATGCGCTGTTCCGCTTGTTTAGTAAGTGTCCAGGTCTCACAGGCGTATGTTGCAATGGGAAAGATGCATGCTCTTAAAAAATCTGACCTTTGTAATTCTATCTGTACAATTCCATAATTTATTCAGTTGTTTTAGTCTTTGAAGAGCAATTGATAGTCGCCGTTTAATTTCTTTCATTGTGTCACCATTGTTGGTAACCAGTGACCCTAGATATTCGAAATTTTCCACCACTTCCAATCTTTCCTCATTAACATATATTTCTTTCTCCATGGCAGTTTGTTTGTATGCATTATCTTTGTTTTTGCTGTGTTTAAGAAATAAGTTATGATTTTCACTATTTCTTTGGAGTGAGGTTAATAAGTTTTCTAAACCATTTGTGATGTTGATAGTAATACTGTATCATCAGCATAACGAATTTCTGGTATTTCATGACCACCGATGTTTAGGGCATCATATTGTTCCTTGTTTATATCATCTCTTACATTTCTCATTATATTTTCGGCGTACAGGTTGAACAAATACGGTGACAGCACACATCCCTGACGGACTCCTTGCTTGATGCTAAACCAGTCTGATGTCTCTCCATCTATTCTGACTGCTGCTTGTTGGTCTTGATAGAGCATTTTAATGAGCTGCACTATATGTGATGGAAAGCCCATATTCCTCATGATTTCCCAAAGCTTCTGATGTTGTACACAGTCAAATGCTTTGAATAATCCACAAAACATAAGAACAGATTTACATTAAATTCTCTACACTTCTCTACTATTAAACGCATGTTAAATATATGATCTCTTGTTCCTCTTCCCTGTCTAAATCCAGCCTGAGCTACATTAATCTCTTCTTCCATATATATATATATATATATATATATATATATATATATATATATATATATATATATATAATATATATATATATATATATATATATATATAAAACACAACCTAACCATGTCAACTCCCGGCACAGGCCTTGGCGACAGCATTTACCTTGCGACCCCAAGCCCTAATCCTCGAGGATCCCCCACCCCATCCCTGCCGGCCAGGGAGAAAAAAAAAGGCGGCGGGGCGTGTTATACACTGACTCAAAACGTGGCAAAAGTAGACAACACAGTTTTGTTCTAAATTATGATTCCTGCCAATGAGGTCATTACAATCTAGATAAGGCATAGGTACATTCACATTTAAATAGAAATTTTGTGAAAGTGCATTGTGTATGTCTCAAAGAAATGCAGCACAGGTAACGTGTTTTGTTTTTTTATGGCGTACGTTATTATTTCTAGGTTTAATAATTTTCGCTAACATTATATATGTGTGTACACAACACACACACAAATATATATATATATACACACACACACTCACACACAACCTTCTTCGTATTCACCAACTGTAAACTCTGGCGGAAAGTTTTGGTTTTTCATTCACTTTTGGACTGCAGTCCTGTCCCAGAGCCTGAGTGTTGCGTGTGCATCCGTTTTACAGATCTGACTCATTTGTAGGCAGATTGCTGGTTCATTGCCTCTCAGGCAGATGCACTTCGACTTCCAAGGAAGCTCCCAATCAGTCGATTTCTACGGCAAGCTTTTAGGTAGGCAGTGGGTCTATTCTTGTTTTCCCTGCAATAGGGCTCGGAAACCCACAGGGGAATATATATACACATATAGAGAGATCGCGCGCCCACGATCGCTTGGACTCACGAGCAAATAAGATGAAGAAGGCTGCAGGAGATGCGGTAGCTGCTGTTCGTGAGTCCTAGCCATCTAATTAAGCGCCAAACCGGCCGTGCGTAGCGGCCTGGAAGATACTCTCGGCCGTGGCGGAAGTCACCGGGAATGAGCAATTTATGTCGCCGGAAGTTCGCAATTGACATGTGACTGAGGCCCTGTTAGGGTATATTTTCTGCCTCGATAATTTGTGACCGTATTCGGTGGATAGCCAAACATTGTGTGTGTGTGTGGGGGGTTTGGGGGGGGGGGAATTTAGGCGCCCATGGATTAAAAAAAAGCCAGTCTTCTGCTAAGATTTCTTTGTCACCTCTTACTTACTAGACGCACGAAAGAATAAAGGCAGTCCTCATCTTTGACTCGCTTCGTAATTCCGCTGTGCCGGGTTGATCCCAACTGCGTTCGGTTTGACAGCAGACTGCCGTGCTTGAGGATCGGCCTTTATTACAATGGCAAACTACTGAACGTGAAACAAACAACGAAATATTGCTGGGGTTAGTTCTGCAACGTCCTGTAAAGAATACACAGCTAAGTTTTTATTTTTTTGTCTTCCTAATTGGTCAGGTAAGACACGATTGGGTAATAGAAACGTTGGTCTCCCCACAGACCGCCCATATACACACTAGCTCACTTGCGATTGGTCGAACTTTAGCCTAGCTCACTTCTGATTGGTCGACCTTAAGCCATGTGACCTTGGCACAAGATGACGGGGGTTTCCCTCCCCCAATGCCGTTGATATCGCATCTTCTATATTTCAGCATTCCAGCGCCTTGAACAAAACAAAAACATTGACAAACTGGGTCTAACACAAAACCTCTTTAGAGAGTGACAAAACCTATGTCACAGGCATTCTCTTTCTCCGAAAAAAAAAAAAAAAAAAAAAGAAAAAGAAAATGCAAGACATTCCAGAAAACAAACAACAGAGCGGCACACCAATAACGTCGAGCAGGTTAGACCTGTCCAAGAAAGTTATCAATAGAACGTGGCCTACTTTCTGTGGAGAATAACGTTTGTTTGACCCACGATCGATTAACTACAGAGGCCATCATTCTTAATACATATTTTGTTTCTTATCCATGGCTGCAGATTGGTGACAATTCTCTTTTTGTTTGCGGCTTGGCCTCTGCTGTCACAAGCAGACGTTACTGCATCCATCACCAGCCACTGGAGCGGCGGATTTCAGGGTGAAGCTTGCATTGACGCCACTGTCGAACTACATGGCTGGAAGATCACGCTGACCTTTGACCCACCTATAACAAGTTTAGATGTAAGTTTTGCTCTTTTAGTCCCTAAAAGAGGGCGAAACACCCAGTCTATGTGGGAATACACGAATAGTGGTTGCCTTACACCCGTTTCTGCATACATTGCGATGGACTGAAATAACTTTCCCATTAACACAACAGTTGCTGTTGCCTAAGTCTGTCTTAGCGGGGGAAACTGCGACCAGGTTGCGTGGTACAGCAGCTGGCAAGGTCTTTGCCTGCTGACTCGACCGAGGCATTACAGCAGAGGTTATCAAACTGGGTGCGTATGCCAGGGGTGCCGTGGCGAAAATCAAGAAAGGTCGGCTATAAATTGTGACATTATTAAAAAAGGCATGAAGATACTTAAAAGTGAAAATTTAAATTGTCTTTCCTCGCCACTGTTCAAAAGAGCCCCCCCACCCTTTTCTTTCACACTCAAAGTGTATCATACTGCATAGAATGCCAACCACAGCGTGCTAAAATTTGTCTTTGTATTTATCTCGAGGTGCGACCGATCCTCCATCTGTATTCGTGAAGGTGCAGCGGATAAGTAAGGTTGTAATTACATTCTGTATGAAATTTGAAAGTGGAAAACATAGTCTGTACAATAGTAACTGTTAGCCTCGTCAAGTAAGCACTTATATTTAAAGGCAATGCGTTGTGAGTCCTGGACAATCGGTAGGCCCCAGAGATGGGATTTTATAGAACAATGCTTAAAATACCTTGAAAAAAAAAAAAAAAGCAACACGAGGTTTTGAAAGAGGCGGGAGTCCGAAGACAACTAATCACAGACATCAGAAGGACACAGTCATCATTTTTCGGCCATGTTATGAGAAGAGGGAAAATGGAACATTTGGTGACCCTGGAAAGATCTGTGGAAGGAGGAATAGAGGAAGACATCGGTAGAAGATTCTTGACAGTCTTGTTGCATGGCATGGAGGTGTGTCAGCGCACGAACTAATACATGCTACAGGAGATCGCAGATTGGGGCTAGGCATAATCGCCCACGCCCGAATGATGATACACTATTCGTATTCGGCCGAATGGTTGGTCCCGCTTTTCGTATTCGGCTGAAAAGTGAAAATCACTATTCGGTACAGCCCCAGTTCCTACATAACTTCAATGAATATGTGTTTTCCGATGGTCTTAGGTGACCTCTGTGAAAGGGTCACGACCGGCAGGTTGAGAACCGCTGGTCTAAGTCGAAAACATTTTGTCTGATTTGAAAAACAATTGGTCTGAGTGAAAACAGTTAGTCTATGTGGGAACAAATACTGAAAGTAGAAAAAATTAGTCGGAGCCGGACTTTTTTCAAAAGTGACCGTGACTCCCATGTCGACCCAACCTTGAGTGGGTACCGGGTGCAGTCCCAGGAAGTAAAGGCCGCCGGTGTGATGCTGACCCCATCAACCATTTTGTGCCGATTTGTCTTTAAAAAAAATAGGTCTAGCCCTATGTGCCCTATACGCCTAAAGGCGTGGATAAGGGACCTTTACTTTACTAGTGTTAAGTGGGAAACAAACTAGCATAAACGATAAGCGACCGTCAAAATGGGATAAGTCTTCTTCTTCTCTTCCACCTTGTACCTCACCGTAGTGTCGAGGGGAGATGTAACGTTCTTTGATGAGCTCTGTCAAGAGCACTATTAAGACTGATGTTAATTTCTGTAAGACTGTTTTTAATGCAGTCACTCCATATTTTCCGAGGTCTTCCACTCGCTCTATACCCGTTGTAACGTTTTAGTGTGGCTCGCTGTGGTAGATAGTACCAGGGCATTTTTATTAGGTGTCCAAACCACTTCATTTGTTGTTCTTTGATGACCTGAAAGACTGGCTTTATTCCTAGCATTCGTCTCATTTCATGATTTCGTATTGTCTTTCCTTGAAACTCCTGCAGCTCTTCTAAAGCATTTCATTTCTGTTGTTACAATTTTATGTCATTGGAGGATGTAAGTGTCCACGTTTGGCACTGATAGCATAGTGTTGGCCAAAAAATAGTTCTGATAAGATTCACTTTAGTACTCCGAGGCTCTTGTGTGTCAACAGGGGAGATAGTTGCCCCAAAATGGGGATAAGTAAGTTAAAAAATTAAGGATTCTTCTTCACGACAATGGCGCATTGGGTATATAATGCAAGGCTAACATTTTATGGACCTATCGGCACTAGGTGGATAATGTGGTCAACATCACGCCGGCCGCCTTTACCCCCTAGGACTTTTTCTGCTACCAATTTTAGCTTGGTCAGCCTGGACGCCTAGGTGATATTTTAGGATTAATAAATTAATTGACTAGAAAATCCAATTCGACGACGCTTTAAACCCACACATTTCGGGTCTGAAGCGAGCTTCTCTTTCTTAGTAGGATAAAAACATTTTATAATGAAACAGCCTTTACCTTCTCAACACATGCCATGACGAGAAGTTGTTTTTTTTAGAGAAGAATTAGTTTCCAAACAAGAAAGTGGAATACTACAATTTAATGCTATAAACAAAAAGTAGGAAGAAATTTTTAACAAAAGAAAGAAGAAAAGACAGAAATAACGAAAAAGACAGAAAGATAGAAGGTAGAAAAAATTAATGAAAGAAATTGGAAAAGAAGAATAAAGAAATTAATGTAAGAAAGAAAGGAAGAATATTGAGCTAATACTTATTGAATTTACCCAGGCATTTACAGCAAACGTGGAGGAAAAAGAGGACGGCGGAAAAGTGTTTGAGCTGACCAGTAAGGAGTACAACGGCAACGAACATGTTGGAGATCATTTGTGCATAGGTTTCATGGGACACAGTAAGTATGGCCGTGATGTTGACGTTGTGAAATATTATTAATGACTCTCCTCGTTTCTTTTGAACAGTGCCCCCACCACCCCCCCCCAACCTCTTTTTACGACAACGTATCAAATCATCATCATCATGAAGTGCCTTGCCCGCTTCCACAGGTGTTCATGCATCTCCACAGAATTGTATTTTGTGTTCTGGATCAACTATATTGATGATATTCCTCCATTGCTCTTGAGCTGCCTCTGCATCTTCTACCACTGATCTTTCTAGTCGTCACAATCGTTTTTTTTAATGCTCCTCTTCTCATCACATGATTTGTTGTCTCCTCCTTTTTGTATATAATATTCTACTTTCATTAGCCATTTCCAGGCAATCAATGTTAGTTATTCTGGCAGTCCAAATTATTCGCAGCTTTCTTTTTAAGAATTACATCTCAGCTGCGTCCAAATTCCTTTTAAATTATTTGTTCACATTCTAAGAATCACTGCAATACAAAAGAACAGGTTCGATATAACATGTCAGTACTCGTTTTCTGATGTTTAATGAGAATGATTTATTACACAAGATACTATTCATCTTCTGAAATGCTGCTTTTGTCTGGCCAATTCTGCTGTTAATATGTGTCACACACCTTCCATCAGATGTTATGAGTGTCCATTGAGATAATCCAGTTTCGTCCTTATTAGGATGAAATTTTTTGTTATTTGAAGCCCCACCCTGGCTTTTGGCAGGGGCCGCAATATAGACCATAAATATGGCCAATTGTCTGAACGCGGTTTCTGGGGAAAAAAATGTAAATCCACGTGCAGTAAGATGGAAAATAATGTTTTCTCCTGCTTTTTAAATTGCAAAGTCTATGACCAGATCTTTAAAATAATTTTAAATAGTACATATACTTCAATACCTTTTAGAGATACGGAATACAGTCTGCCTGGTTGCATTGTTGTTCTGATTAGATTAAAAAATATTTACTTCAAACGAGAAAATAACCGGTCAGCCTCAAGGTTATTGAAAATTGCCATGATGCCCCCTCTCTGTGTGATGCCCTAAGCACATGCTTACTTCGTTATCCGGCCCTGGTTACGACCTAGATTTAAAGTTGCTGCTAAATACAACGTGCACGTTCAACATCATTCAGTCTAGATTCTGGTGAGAATAAATTAGAATTGGAAAAAGTTCATAGAGATCATCATTGTTTTCATTGTCATTCGTCGTCTTCATCATCATCTTTACTTTACATGCCGATTGCGTAGACTGTCATCCTAAAGGATTTCTAGAATCCCTATTTTTTTTAATATCCAAAGAATAAATGAAAGTCACGAGCTGCGAGAAATAAGAAACACACAGAACAGAATTACAATTAAAAAAAAAAAAAAAAAAAAAAAGGAAAATAGGCCACTTTGTCAAGAACTAATCACAAGTTACTGGCAAAAACCGAATAGAAGTCGAAAGAGAAGCCAACCATGCAAATGATAGATAAAGTGAATAACAATCCCTGTAAGCCCACATATTTGAAGTACTCAAACGGACACATTCCAGTAGCTTTTATTTCGCTTAAACACTGTGAAGTACCATGATAAAAGGATCAGATGAACCGCAAGCTACAGAATGAAAATTCTTGTTAGAAAGCTTTCCCCGGTACACGAAAACTAAAAACAAAAATAGTTTGAAACAAGTATATAAACACGCACACATACACACACACACACACTATAAAATTGCAGTTAAGTGTATAATACATAAACTAAAGTGCCCTTTTTCATCAGAGAGAAAAAAGAAAATTCTTTTAGTATTACAATTACCATCTAGCTAGCAAAAATGTGTTGCCAAAACAGTGTATAGTAAGACTTTTCCTCTAATTCGACAGGCAGTGGTGACGTCTCGCCGACAGTGACAGCTGAGCTGGAAGGTACAGATGGCACAGTAGTCCAGCCCACCCAAAGTCCAGTGAATCAGCCCACCCAAGCTCCAGGGAATGAGCCCACCCAAGCTCCAGGGAATGAGCCCACCCAAGCTCCAGTGAATCAGCCCACCCAAGGTTCAGGAAATCAACCCACGCAAGCTCCAGTACCTGGTAGGTCTCTTATCAACATAGACTTAGTTGAAGTAGAAGGTTGAGTTACCTATTTTTGCAAATGTTAAAAAAAAATTGAATAAAAAGGGACCCCTTTTCAAGCTCTGAGGGGAAGTCAATAAGTAAGACACACACGGCTGTTTAAAAAAAAAAAAAAACACACACACACAATAATAAATATTAAAAAAAAAAAAAAAAAAAAAAAAAAAAAAAAAAAAAAAACAAACACACACAATAATAATAATTTGAAAAAAAAGAATAAAAAAAAAAAAAATTAAGACGATAACAACTTGAAAACCGTTTATTTTTTATAGATACACTGTCTCTTTATTTTTCAACATAATTTCCACCAACATTGACGCACCTCTCCCATAGTTATAATAGTCCTCCTAAGCCTGCTGCATAGAACTGCGTGCTCTATTTTCCTAAACTCCATTTTCACTTCACATTCAACTTCTGCGTCATTCGCGAAAGGTCTACAGCCAAGGTGGGTTTTCAATGGGGAACAAAGTAGTTGAAATCTCTAAGGGTTAATTGGGAGCTGTAAGGTGCATGTTCCAGAAGTTTCCACACTAGATAGTTAATTTTCTCCTGAGTTAACCGAACCTTATATGGTTTGGCATTGTCATAAAGGAGCAGTACTCCTCTGGTCAGCAAGCCAAGGCAGTATAACTTTTTTTTTGTGAAATTGGATAAAAGCACTCCATGACAATCTTCCCTGCTGATGGCGTAACCTTGAATTTTAGAGGGTACATTCCGTAAGTACAGCCGGCATTTTGTTTATATGTTGCGAATGCCCATGCAACATATAGCGCTACCTAACAAACGGAGACCTAAAGTTCCATGTTGTTATCCATAATGGCACCTTTAGAAACCACCAATATCATTTTCCTGCCATCTCATAATCATTTGTGACTTTATTGACTTTCACTTGTATAATGCTAGACTCCATTTTTAGACTAACTAGGACTTGCCTGTTCCCAGGACTTTACCCGGCACCCATTTAAGGCCAAATCGACCAGGAAGCTAAGGTCATTAAAATAAAAAGTCTGACTCTGTGTGAATTTAAACCTATGATCTTCGAATCCGCAGCCGAACGTCTAGCCGCTAAACCATGGAGATTCCTATTTTTTGAAAGAGGTGTAGTTTTTTTCCCCGCCATCTTTCTGTCTTCCAGACGACATTGTTCCATAGTGTTACACGGAAGCGTGTTAATAGCAGTCCATTCTGTAACAAGACTGGCTGGAAACGGCACCCCAAGAAACGAATGAGTCACTCGTCCCTTTGTCGGTGATCACGAATCTGATCCACAGTAAAGAAATATCGATTTGTTTTTCTTAAATAATATAAATCTCCTAAAAAGAAAAATCTCACAAATATCTCTCTGGGAGGCAAATGAGTCACCCATCGTTATAAAGACAATGCAAAGTATCAATTTATACACTAGCACCATATATCGTCACCCTCCCGGAAAACCAATCACTCGTGACTTCGTCAGCCTCCCGATCGATATTTACTAAGACTAAAGGGTGCTGCTACTACAGCCGCCAGAAAAAAACCAATCACTTGTGATGAAGACGGCCGCCATCTTTTACTAAGGATAAAGAAGGCGGCTGCTAAGTCCCTGGATGTAAAAGGAGCACGTATCACCCTACCCTACTACTGATGTTATAACAAAGGCACTCAAAAACCTGTCAGCAATGAGAGCCTTGGCCACCAACTTTGGACAGAGACTGCCTCTGCTTCTGTTCCAGGGAGTTGTTCTTTCTCTTATCGAATATGCTCTAGCCAATGTTTCTCAAACTTGTTTTCGCCGCGGCATCCTTGTGGGACTAAATTTTTTTTCGCGGCACACCTAACCTTAAAGCGGTTTGAACACTTAGGAAAAAAAAAGGAGAGGAAGGGAAAAAAAAAAACAGTGCAAATTTAATGTTTAGTTGTCTTTAATGCGATGAATGAAACTTTTTGGATGCATTTTTCATTATTTCCTTTATGTCCATCGAAGTCTAATTAACTGAACCCTCAAATTACGCTGAGAATGCATTGCAATCTTACTAATAGCATTGTTTTCTGAATACACCTGCATTCCAGAATTCTTCTTGGCTTCCTTCGTGGTATTTTCGTTTCAAACCTCTGTCTTCACTGACCTCAAGCAAATTTTGAAAAAATTCTTGATTATTGCGGCGGCGCCCCTGAGATACGCTGCGGCACTCCTGGGGGCCGCGGCACCCAGATTGAGAAGCGCTGCTCTAGCTATACTCGCTGTCAACCTTATTCAGATTGAAAGACTTGAAAAGGTGCAAAGTGAAGCAATGCGCATTATTCTGGGTCGCACAAGAGATATCTCTTGTGTAGCAGTGAGATACCTTCTTGACTTCCCTACCATGAACTACAGGATCATGACTTGGAGGACTCTCAAGACAAGCTCTGATCTGAAGCACCCTTTGCAGCACATGCTCTTCAGGAAAAAAAGAGCAACAAACTAAAAAGGGGCAAATCATGGCTGTGTAGGGCTGAGGATGATATTAAGCAGGTGTGCAGTCTTAATGACATCGACCGTAGTGAGGATTGTATTTCAGTGCCTACAGCACTCAATCTCACCCTTTTCTATGTCAGTGGTTCTTAAGCGACCCACGTGAAAGGGTCGTTCGACAAACAAAAGGTGGCGACCGATAGGTTGAGAGCCGCTGTTCTTTGTCATCACGCTTGATAGTTGTCAGGATTGATAGTTGTCCCATTGCTGTCAACCCCGAGGTCTGCGCGCTTATCAGTAACATGCCTTGACTGATGAGAAAGATATACTGATCTACACAGACCGGTCTGTTTTACGAGGACACAAGAATGCCTGGGCGTTTACAGCTAGCTCTTCAGGCAGAACAGTCCAAGAAGCCAGCGGTTCCTTCTCCATGCTCACCAGCAGTATGACAATGGAGGTGATGGCGGTGACACAAGCTTTCATGTGGCTAGAATCACAGGACTATTCCCGCGTGTGTCTGTATGTGTGTCTGTATGTGTGTTTGTATCCTGAGTGATTCTATGAGCATGATCTGGCGTGTCAAGGCACCCTCTATTCGCAGACAGTGGATTGAGGCATTGCAAAAGTCTCCATGGTGTTCAATTGCCTTTATATCAGTCCCAGGGCACGCAGGTGTTGTTGGCAATGAAAGAGCTGACAGACTGACAAATTCTGCATTAGTTGCAGATGGCCCATTGATCACGCAGACATTGACAGTGCTAAGTATCAAATATATATTTGAAATAAAAAAAAAAAAACATGGTCCAGGCGGTGAAAAGGTGAATAGTGAGTTTAACAACAATAACGACAACATAAAACAGCATAGGCAGCACCTAGCCAGAAGTGCATGAACTACAAGTTCTCTTCTAAATCAAACAAATGGAATATAATCATCACTTTCGACATCTGCTTATTTTTCCTGAATACAAAAACTAGCGTGCTTCGCAGACAACAGTACATTAACAATCAATAACGTGTTCGAACAGACTATGTGCTAATCACTCTAGCTAACAAAGCTGAGAGTTCGCCTTCACTTCAAGGCAACCTACTATCAGATTCATTCGTGAGGATGCACGTTGAAATATAGACCTAACGCAATCTGTCTACTGAACGTACTGTCAAAACACGAAACCAATGAGCTAGTTCATCTCTCTGGACTCAGTCCACCGTACATAGGTTGCACTTAGAGCCCTGTACGGTTCCACAACCGATAGTTGGGACTACATTCTCTACTTTATTCTCGAGACAGGAAAAAAAAGTGAAAATTTGTACTGCACTGGGCCTTATATCAACTTTTCGATTCGTTGGGCACTTCCGGAGAGTTCCAGTCTGCAAACCTGCAGCGAAACCAAACATATTAACAGGCTAACAACCTACTCTAACAGCCTGTTACATAAGTAAAATTTGATATGTTTTGCTTTTATAGACCAGTCAGCACTCGATGGGTGATGTGGTCAGCATCTCTACGGTCCGTCTTTACTTCACGTGTCCTTTCCTGATATCTATGTTAGGCAGAGTCAACCTGGTAGCTAAGATCAATTATAAAATAATCGACCCTGTGCCCATTCTACAGGCAATCGGGTGTCTAGACACTGCGATACCGCGACTCTCGTGGAGGGAAGTGGTTTTTTAATAAACACAATTCAAGCTGCCAGCTGGTTGCACTTCTACTACTCAGGTGTCTACCACGTTCGTGCAAATGCATACGAATAAAAGGTTCATCTTTAACACTTTTAAGTAACAGTGAAAAAAAAAAAAAATGCTTGTTTATTTCGTTACATACGCTTCTGTGATTATATAAGAATAGCAAGCGTATTTGTATTTTATTATTCGTATAAGTCCACAAATATAGCAGGTCTATTTTCTTACACATCTCTATGAATCTGCATAAGAATAGCTAGCCTGACTTATACAAATTCACGCGAGTTCATAAGAATAGCCGGCATTATCTTCAAGATAATAATTCATCAATGTTTTTCTGTTCCATGACTGGTTAACCAAAGTGGCGATACCAAGTGGTAGCGGGGTCTCATCGTCACTCAAGGTTAGCAACCCACACCCCGATGGTTTCGAAGGCGTCTTCAACTTTGCTTTGCCAGAGATTTACGTCGGCTGGGTGGCCAATGCGACTTTCAGCGTTGATGTCACAAGTATGGAAGTGAGTATACAATCAATCAATAAATCAACAATCAATCAATCAAGTAATTTCATGTCTGTTACGAAAGTTTTCTGAAATGAATCTCCAGCCGTGTCAAGTCTCTCGGTCTGGTTGTACACTTGTAAACTGCTATTTGCCGTTATTTGATTCTAGCTCCTAACATCTATCGCTGTGTACCTCTTCTCCTTCTTCCTGGCTTT